TGGCACCAGGGTGATGCGGAGGAGACGAATTGTTGAATAAAGTCATTATTTTTTTTTCTTTTGCGCAACAAAAAGTATTCTCGTAGCTTCGTAAAATTACGGTTGAACACCTGATGTCACATGGATTATTTTACAGATGTCCTTGCTACGTCTCTGGACTTGGGAACATTTCAGTTGTGTTGCTGTCTATGCAGGGTCAGACAGCTCTCAGATTCCATCAAAAATATCTTAATTTGTGTTCCGAAGATGAACGAAGGTCTTACGGGTTTGAAACCACTTGAGGGTGAGTAATTAATGACAGAATTTTCATTTTTGGGTGAACTAACCCTTTAAGAAAGAGCTCAAGTCTGTAAGTTGCTCCTTTTACAGCGGTTCAGTCTCAGTGAAAGTAGGATATGTTCCCATTCAAATGCTGCCTACAATAAAAAAGTTAATGGGTTAATAGAAGGGCATGCTCTGTTTTGGACAGGTCATGATGTGCCTGTGGTTAATGAAGCTTTAAGTTTTTTATAGCCTCTTGCAGAGACATGAGAGCATCCTTATTTTCAGTACTTTCTTCCTCTAGTTCTCTCTTTTCACCCACTGGCCATGTATTTGATTGCTTCTCACTGACTGCACATGAAAATCAACATAACTTAATTAAACAGGTAACTGTATAATGATTCAGTCATCAGACAAGCCATGAGTATGTTTATCTTTATAAATCATCAGCAGATGCAAAAATGATGGCAAAAATGATGAAATGCTTTTTTTTTTTTTTTAGAGGTAACATTGTTATATTTTTATCAGATTTTTTCCAAAATTCTTTAAATTTTCTCTAATACAGTATTTACTGCTAGCTGATGAATGATGCCTCATGGGTTAGTAGTAGAGTTGTCTGACATCTAGTGGTTCATGTCTTGAGGGGGAAAACAAACAATTGTAGGACTGTTCTTTAGAGATTTTATTACATCAACAAATGTTGATAGATAAAATACGTAGCCATATTCAAATGGTCATTTTGTGGGGGATGCTGAAGTGATCAATCACAAACCGAGGAGAGGCATTATGGTATATCCAGGTCTGATACTGCAGCAAAAACATAACTGCATTTGCAAGTATTTGCTAGGATATTACTTTGGTTTACACTGATATTTCTAGATAAACAAACATAGACCTATTTGATTAATTAATTAGTGAAATATTAATGTCCAAAATAACTGTAGATTATATATTATATATTAATAACTGTAGATAAATTTCTGATTTTCTGAACAAGATCAGTTTAACATTATGTAATTGCAGGCATTCCACTGTATGAAGCAGAAAAATCAATCCTGCAAGCCTTCACACAACACAAGCAAGTCTTTCAATGCATTATTATTAGGTAAATAAAGTCATATATTCTTAAAAGTGTGCTTCAAAAATAATATTGGATCAAAACTTACTGGATCATCACACCGGTAATCTTTAAATGTTTTCTGATTTTTATAGTATTTTACAAAATGCTATAGAGAGTGAAGGCACTTGCAAAACTTCCCAAAAACGTCCAAGCTCGCATTTCAGAAGAAAAAAATTATTATATATCAGTAATGACAATAGCTATATTATATATATATATATATATATTCTCATTACCATACAATATGTAATATATTTATTTTAAAATTAGCATAAATTATAATAATTATAAATACTACCCCTGTATATAAATATTTTTTTAAATACAATTTAAATAATAATATATCATTATTTTCTCCCTTTTTTGCTTTACAGTAATGAGAGTTGGGGGAAATATAATGTCATATTAGAATTTTTTTTTTAATGATCCTGAACACAAGCTTAATTTTCTATAAACATTTTATCATTTACTTATTTTGGTTTTGGGATGAACTATGACCGAGACATGTTCTTGAGAGTTTTGCGAACATTGTATTAGTAACAGCATAACAGAAGAAATGTTTCTGAACATCTGATATGTTGTTGCTTTGAACTCTTTTAAAAAATCAGCTGAATCCATATAACTTTGAAAAGGGTGTGTCCTACACTATGTTAAATATAACCCAGCGCTGGTTTAAAAAGGGACAAACCCAGCTATATAACCCAGCGGTTAGGTCAAAACAACCCAACCGCTGGGTCAAAACAACCCAATAGCTGGGTCAAAGCAACCCAACCGCTGGGTCGAAGCAACCCAACCGCTGGGTCGAAACAACCCAACCGCTGGGTCGAAACAACCCAACCGCTGGGTCGAAACATCCCAACCGCCATTTTGAGCATGACAACACCAGAAAGACTTTGGGTATCTAGGCAGGATGGTGCACAGTGTTTCTCTTTAAACTGAGATTGAACCTTCCCTAAAGTTAGTTTTTCCAATCAGAACGTTCAGCAGAACGGCCTTTCCCTCTCTGCACTCCTTCTGCGCCTTTTTAATGATGTCATCAAGCTGCGACTCATCCTCTCGGCCAATCAGGTAACCTTTGCCCCCGTAACCATCGGCTACAATATGGTAATCTGCAAGGAAGAGGTGGAACGGAACAGCATGTGAAGCAACTCCTCACTATGATTGATGAATATACCTTTGGAAAAGACCTTAATCATTACATTAAACACTTTTGTGAACAATAAGACAAAGTGTTACTGCGTAGACATTCAAACAAATGCAGTGAACAAGAGTTTAATGATTGCACTGCACCAAAGCCTCTCACCTGTAAAGGCCAGACCGCAGGCTACGTTGCTCCCGAGCATAGGCACTTGTTCTCTGGAGATCTGACTCCAGCATGCGTCATTTCCCACCAGAGCGATCACTGGGGTCTGATGTGAGACGACAAGGCAGTCGTTAGAGGTTTTCAAGAGAAAAGTAAGAGAAGCCACAGCAAGGATGTTTTTGAAGGAATATTCCAGGTTAAATTAGCAGCATCAAATTCCACTGAGAATATCCAAGTTGGTTAAAACAAAGTAGTGTTGATAGTTGTGAGCTTACAATGGAAGTCTATGGGCAAGTGTGCAATTTTTAATTTTTGTCCCTTTTTTTCATTTTTGCTGCCTTTGTGCTTGTTTATATCTAAATAAAAGTCTAAATTAAATCTGTTTATCATGTCTCATACTCATATTAAGCCACTCAATTCATATGTGTTACTTTAATGACATCTTTAACTTTTTGAAGCATTAAAGTTTTGGTGAAATGGACTTTCAATGGAGGGACAGAAATGCCTCAGATTTCATAAAAAAGTTGTGTTTCGAAGATGAACAAAAGTCAAGAGCAAATTTATGACAATTTTGGGTGAACTATCCCTTTAAGAGGTTGGAAATGTTGTGCATTTTTTACAAAACACATTCTACTACATTCTGAACTTGATGCAGTAAAAGTCAGTGTTGTAAGGGTTGTTACACGTGTTATGGTTGGTACCTTGTGACGTGTGAAGGTATCAAATTCAGCCACGCTATATCCGAGTGAACCATCGCCGTAAACTATCCATACCTGTAAACAAGATATTGGCTATGTTCACATGCTCCCTTATAATGTGATTAAAGGCTGTATTGTGCATAAAATGGAGCGCTTAGTGAAACGTGCTTTTTTAACAAGAAAAAATATTTGACCTCAGACTCAGGTCGACAAAGCTTTGCTCCCAGAGCAAAACCTCCTCCAACACCCAGAGTCCCAAAGGCCCCTGGTGAAAAGAGAAGCCACAAATCATTATGAACACAAATACTATGAGTGGATTTGACAAAACAGAGCTGGAGATTATTATGGAATTAGATTGTACCAAAAGTGAACATAACTCCAAGAATTGAACAAAAATATAATAACACTTTAAAAATAATAAAAAAATGAACTCAATGGCAAAAACAAGCATGTTATATAAATAATTATGGATTATGCACAGTTCTTTTATGGGGGAAGTCATGGCCTAA